GTGGTGGGGGTGGGGTGGGGGGGGTTAGTCCGCTGTGAGACGTGGACACCGCAATATTTTTTTGTTATCATCGCGCCCTATGGGCTGGAAAAGACAGCAAACCAAAGGAAAATAAACAAGATGACACACTTTTTCCCCTAACAGCACAAGGCCGTTCTCTCACTGCTGGTTTCACCGACATCACACTTTATCATTAAACGCGCCAGATTCTTTGTGATAATAACAGCATTAGTTTTAAACTTTTTTTTTTTTTTTAACTGACCTGAATATTTTCGTTCCCTATTCAACATTTGAACATTTGAACTGATTGTTTGCTTCTTGTTTGTTTGATTAATCTGAGAATAATAATGATGTGAAACTGCTGAGCAGCCCCGGATAAAAAATAAAATTTCACATACAAAAAGTAGAGTTACATGAATTAGAAAAAACAGAGAACCCCGAAATGATTATGTACAAATAACAGAGTTTAAAACTTCTGACAAAAGTCCTGGAATTAATTTATGAGCAAGTCAAACATAATTTTTAAATCACGAAAGAACAATAAATGTCACAAAAAAATATGGTTATTGTTACTTCTCAGTTTTGAATTGTATCTAAAAAAAAAACAACCAAAGGATGTTTTTTATTATTGAATCCCAACATTTTATTTTGAAGTAAAATATATATATAGCCAAAAAGACAACAGAAATATGTTAAGTTAGAAATATAGCAATAATATAATAATTTAATGTGTGTGTAAAGTAACAGATAAAATCATAGAAAGTGAAAGAACGGGATCCACACGAGAGAAACACACACACACACACACACACACACACACACACACACACACACACACACACACACACACACACACACACACACACACGTCGTAGATCAAATGTATAAAATTCAACCGAGCAATTCAAGTGGATTTTTCTCAACAATGTGACCTCAGGCAGCAAACTTTCTATCTGATCCCGCGGCTGTGTGCGTGTGTATCTGTGTGTGTGTGTGTGTGTGTGTGTGTGTGTGTGTGTGTGTCAGCAGGGCTGAGACAGCGGTGTCCAACAGCCGGCTCTCTCCTCCTCTCTCTGGGTGTGCTCACTGTGAGCCCTCTCATCTTTTTCCCATTAGTGCTGTTTTCATGTTCTTTCCTAGCGTGAGCGTGTGTGGCTGCAATTGTTTATGAAGCAATGCTCGCCCCATCCAACTGTGTGTTTGTGTATGTGTGTGTGTGTGTGTGTATGTAAGTGTGTGTGTGTGTCCAACATGGATTTATGCAACAAATTGCCCAGAATGTCATATATATATCTATATATATAGATATATATATACACAAAAAAAGCTGAATGCTAAATCATATTATTTATTAAATATTAAATATGCAGAAAATGTAATTTTAAAAGTGTATTGTCTACTCCTTCTATTATTGTTACCACTTTGAAATCCAGGCTATGAGCTGCAAAATTTAAAGCAATGGTTCCCAACTTTATTTTTTTCAGATGTACCCCCACAGCCCCAAACACGAGTTTCCATTTACCAACATCACCCTCGTGTTTCACGAGTGTCATTTGACTTGATTTTAAACTGGATCAGTCAGTCTCATTTAACACTATGTAAAAGTGAATAATTGTACAATCATTTTTCATATAATTTATCTGGTTTGCAGTTATTCTGTTTGTGACAGCAGCTACAGACGATCAGCCATTCATCCAGAACTTTAAGGTATTTGAATTCATTCTTTACTTTTAGCTGTTTCAGTATTAATACTTTTATACTATTTAAACTAATGCTGGCAACTGATAAAGTTCTGGGAATCACTGATTTAAAGTAATCACCAAAAATCTACTCACTCAGAAATATTCCTATTGATTCTCATTAATATTTGTTCTCCTAAATTTCACACACAGAAAGAGGCGGGTGTCTGTTTATTATCTTCAAAATACTGAAGCACTTGCACCTGACATAAAGCAGCTTCCATCCATAATCCAACCAGAACATGTCTTCACCACATGGAACAAGGTGTCAGGACAGACAGGAGGAAAGAAAGAAAGAAAAAGAAAGAAAGAAAGAAAGAAAAAAACAACAGGAAAGAAGCCCCCAGACAACATGAATAAGAAATCACACACAGCTGCCGAGGTTACGGCTCCGGTGGTGGACACACACTGACTGAACCGGCCGCACATGCACCAGCAGCTGAACCGCTTTTTTTGGGGTGGGGGG